TCACATTCACAATAGTTTACGGAATCGGGTATGTAGCCTAGAAGAACGAACATTATATAACTCTGAAAATGTGAAATTCTGTATTTTTTATGTTTACTCATTCGTGCAAAATAGTAAAGATACCCAATAGATTGAAAATTCTTTTCGTGAGACTAGAAAGCATCAGGTCTTATTGACTAAGCTGCAAATTTCCTTCGGTCACCATACAACTACGTATACACATATATACATACAAATCATATTGAAGTAGCTTAAATACAAAGTAAAGAAATATCTGCACAAATACAGACATACATTTAACAATTTTATCCAAACACATAAAATACATACGGATACTGCAGAGAGAAATTACATATTGAAGAAACAATACCAGAAATGTTCAAAATATTAAAAATGCAGTATACTATAGATACTTTGTCAATACATTGAAAATACAGATGATAAAATAAATTAAAGAAAACTGTTCTCAAAGAACTCTTCCAAACTATAATAGGGAATACCACGTAATAAATCTCTTTCTGATTTCCTAAATTCACAGTTATCATCTAAAATTTTAATACACCCAGGTGAATAATTAAACATCTCAAGGCCATTATAATATACGCGTCTTTGACTAGAGTAAAGACTGGTATGGGTAATCTTAAGTCATTAGCTTGACGAAGGGCATAATTGGAGTAACCGCTAAATTTCAGTTTATGTTTGTTAATCAAACAGTTTTATGTAGATCAAACAAGGGGTTGCAGGAGTCTCAACTTGCATTCATGTGCATTGCACATGAATCTTATGGCTTTTTTCTGAATAATGAAAACAGTCTTCAAGTTCACTCGTCATGGTGCAATTCATAAGGATCTAGAAGTGATTACGAATTGGGGCGAAGTAACCAGGTTCAGTTCAATGCCACAAAAACCCAGGCATCGGTTTTCTCCAAGAAGATAAATGTCTCCGAACCGGATATAATAATGTCAGGTCAGACAATTCCGCTTTCTGCTTCGATAAGTTTGTGGGGGGTTGAAATGGACCAATATGTCTTGGCACAATCATGTCGCTGGAATTGCAAAGGCTGCTTCTCAAAAGCTTGGAACACTGTTCTGAACCAGAAAACTGTACACACCTCAGCAACTTTTGATGAATAACCGATTTATGATTATTATTCACTTTCTTTTCGTCAAGAAAAGTGAACCTGATTTTTGTGAAACTGGAATGAATCAATGCCACAAGTGATTCCACTGGAATGAAGTTGATGTCCCGTGTAGAAAAAAAAATTGTCGTCTTTCCAGATTATTAGTAAATTGATGGATGTAGGGAATACATCCTACGTGGTAGGAGATCATCTTGAAAAATGAGAAAAAAACTTTTTTATGTTTTTATACCACTTGTATTTGTAACTAACTTTACTACAGTTTTGTCCTGTAAGGACATTTTCAATCGAATAGGTACAATAAACATGTGCCGGTTACATTTTCATTAGGCACTGTTGAAGCAAACAATTCATTATAAAATCAATCGCCTTGCATTTTTAAAAGTCATTGAAGTTCATTCAAGGGCTATATCCAGAGTGCACCAAATTTATTCGGTTGAAATGTGTGTTAATTCATATTGTTTGAAATTTTGTTGAACAAATGGCGAGAGTGTATACAGATTTGATAAAATTCGGAGGTAATAGGTCGAGAATTTTATATTACATTATTTGGAATTCATACGCATTTTCATCCATTGAGCTTAGTATACGAGGAATATATTTTGATAATAATAATAATACTTCCTTGAAATAGGCATATATAGACTATTGTAAGCACGAGCTTTCACTAGATTAAACGGTAAATGGAGATTATTGTATCTGTTTGAAAATGTCCTTAGAGGACATAATAATAATAATACTTTATTGAAGAAGACACTCTAATATAGACTGTTGTAAGCATGAAGTTTCACTAGATTAAACGGTAAACGGATTTCATTTATCTGTTTGAAAATGTCCTTATAGACACAATTATAACACTTTTTCGAAATAGACAATCTAATATACATAGACTGTTGTAAACATGAGCTTCCACTAGATTAAACGGTAAAAGGAGTTTATTGTATCTGTTTGAAAATGTCCTTATAGGACATAATAATAATACTTTATTAAAATAGACAATCTAATAGACTGTTGTAAGCGAGAGCTTTCACTTTTAAAAATATTCTTGTAGGACATAATAATAATACTTCATTGAAATAGACAATCTAATATACATAGACTGTTGTAAGCATGAGTTTTCATTTGATTAAACGGTAAAAGGAGTTTATTGTATCTGTTTGAAAATGTCCTTATAGGACATAATAATAACACTTTATTAAAATAGACAATCTAATAGACTGTTGTAAGCGAGAGCTTTCACTTTTAAAACTATTCTTATAGGACATAATAATAATACTTCATTGAAATAGACAAAATCTAATATACATAGACTGTTGTAAGCATGAGTTTTCATTTGATTAAACGGTAAAAGGAGTTTATCGTTTCTGTTTGAAAATGTCCTTATATGACATAATAATAATAATACTTTATTGAAATGGACAATCTAATATACAAAGACTGTTGTAAGCAAGAGCTTTCACTAGATTAAACGGTGAAAGGAGTTTATTTTGTCTGTATGAAAATGTCCTTATAGGACATAATAATAATAGTTTATTGAAATAGACAATCTAATATATTGTATATATATAAAAACTGTTGTAAGCATGAGCTTTCACTATTGAAAATGTCCTTATAGGACATAATAATAATACTTTATTGAAACACACAATGTAATATACATAGACTATTGTAAGCATGAGCTTTCACTAGATTAAACGATAAACGGAGTTTATTGTATCTGTTTGAAAATGTCCTTATAGGACATAACTGCAGAAACGTTAGTTATAAATAAAAATTGTATAAAAACAGAAAGTTTCATGTCTCATTTTACGAATTATAAGTATTGTAGGGACAAACCAACATTTACTGAAGAGAACTGTTAGTGTAATAAATAATGATATGTGCATGTCTAATACGTCAAATGAAAACATCTGACAATAACCCAGAGAAATTGGTACAAAAAGAATATTTCAATTAAAAAAAATCACGACACTGTTATCGGATTCGCATATTGAGAAGTACTTTTTGATAGTAATATTTCTCCATTTATCAATATGTAATGGTACAAAGAACTGAATAATGATTCATTATATCAGATTCAATTATATCAGTTATTTTCAAACCCTACATGCAAAGCTTAAAATTAATCAAATGTAGCTTATACTCGGATATATAGAGGAAACTATATATGAGATCATTCAAGACAAAAATGAAATCAAGATAATTTGAAAATGAAGTAACAGATAATCTAGAATTCTTGAGATGACTTTTACAATTATTTTTCGTGCGAGCGAATTAGAATGTTCCAAATACACTGACGCGCACAACTATAATTGGAATTCCAACGCAAAATAAAATGGTCAGTTTCAAATATTTGAATAGACCCATTAAATTAAATACATGTTTCGAATCGACGGCATAATTGTCACCTTTCCGTAACAAAATTATAGGACAGGGATTCCGTTGTGTCATCCAGGTTCAGACCTCACGGTTTGACAATGCTTATTACAGTCATCGCTTTCAAACAATGGTTACTCCACGATGAACTCAAAATAATTATAACCTATTATGTAGATATGCATATTTGGTTTCTAGTTATTACAGATTTAATGATAAGGAAACGATATATCGATGACTGGAGAAAGAAATGTTTTTGGTAACAGTGCATTATTATATGTAAAGATATGCTTTTGAAAGTCCCCATCATTTTTTCTCATTGAACTGAAATTCACAAAAACATTTCATTTTTTTTTCGATTGATTGGTGAAGTTGATACAATGATATTTCCCTCCATAATCATTTTCAACGTGCCGTTACATGCATTACTGTTTAAGTAAACGATTTATTATAAAATCAATTGCCCTGTGAGACACACTGTATATACAAAAATATATCCACTTAAATACACGCATGTATGATGCGCAATATACCACCTAATGATAAAAAATGAAAAAGTGGAAAACCTTAATTTTAATTGATGCAATATATTAAGAGAATTGTTAAAATGCTGAAATGAATGGGGAATGTTCCTCAATTTGGGTTATTACAGTAAATGCAAGTTTGAACAAAATAAAGTTGAGTTCAATTCATGAGTTTTTCAAATTCACTTCGAAAAGTATTCAAATCGATGTTTCAAATGTTGGGTTTTAATTTTCAAAGGGATTTGTTTCTAATTCACATATTGGAAACAGCGCCTAGAATGCTAGATCGGAGTTCAGGTTAATAGTATGGTAGAAGAAGAAGAATCATGTCAATAGTGTCAAATTAAGGCAAAATATAAATTTTACTTCAATACCACAAGCCACATAAACAACAGTTGTTTTGTTATTTATTTATATAGAGGAAGATAGGTTAGGTGCACAAAATGTCATGTCACAGAATGTGTCGGAACTCGGAACATAAGTAAACAGAACAGCACGCCTCTGAAATATGTCATCTTTGTTTGTCTCATACAGGTAACAGATTCATTGTCGTTTATTAGTTATAACCGATGTTGCCAAATGGTGGAATAGAAACGAATCCCTTTAAATGTTGAATGCATCATTTCATTCGTCTTTTTTAAGCATTTAAATAATTTTTAAAGAAAAAGGTTGAAATGATAAGTTTGAAATTCGTTGTTTTAGAGCTCTTTCATGAAAACTACTTGATTTTCGTCAGGAGGAACATTCCCCATTTAACTGATGTGTCAATTGGGAAATATTGAGCTTTCAGAAACTCAGATAAGGAACGTTTGCTAGTTTATTACATTCTCATATAATTCATGGTCCTTTTGAGGTTGGTTCGTAGAACATAAAAATTACTGTTTCCTCTCGTCATTCGAAGAGTAAATGAAAATAAAAAAAGTACTTATTTTCATAAATATAGAGATGAATCAAACGCCCTATTTTCATTTTTCACTCATTCTATTTCTTTCTTATATCTCATTTGATACATTTGAATCTGCCTCAGAAGTTTCGTTAGATGAAAAGCAGCCTGTGGGTTGTTATATTCTTTGAAATTGGGTGGGCAGTCCTTCTGATCGGAGAGGGAAATGCTCGGCTGGCTCGTTTTCTGCTTCAACGTTTTAATTTGCTGTTTCAAAGCCAGTACCTCTTTGTACAAAGTCATCACCATGACGATCTCCTCTTCTTTTTTATTCAGTTCTGATTCCAATTTCTCCAATTCTGTCAGATTTTCGTCGTCATCAGCATTAGCATTCTGGGACAATTCCTCATATTTCCTGGAAATGGAATATGTCATACATGGATTTTATATCTATTAACGTGAATAAAACCACAAAAAAATAATTTCAAATGACAGTATAATTAAAATTGAAATGGGGAGTGTTGTTTGTGATTGGATATATTCAAATTATATATCAGACGAGTATTTAATCAAGCAGAATCTAAAAAAAAATATTTTGTTGTACTGTAGGAAAGAATATTTTCTTGGAGGCAAGATTCCTTTTGAGAAGAAATCAATTTTCCTTGGATTCTTTTTAGAAATTTCAATTTTGAATTAAGTGTATATACTGCAGAGCACTCCCCACACTTTTCTACATGCCAAACCGGTAGAAATTTTGACGTAAGTCTCCGTGAACACGTCTGTTTCGAAAAAAAATCTACAAGGTATGAACATCTGTAAGAATCAAAACACAAGATAAGTAAGGATAATCTCAAAATCCTACACACATGTAATAAAGGGAAAAAATGAATTTGTTGGAAGCCATGGAAGTTAATAAATTAATTAAAAACCCGAAATATATAACCCCAAACAAGCAAGTTGATTTATGTAGGTCTCCACTCTTGAATTTATAAGTTTGACAACCTTGGTAATTTCTATAATCTCCAGTGTTGAACTTTTTATAGTTGGCACCCCTGCTCCTTCAATTACGTCTCCATCCAACTTACCTACAAACTCTCTATATAACCACGTTTATAGATTTCGAATGTATTAGTTACTTTTTATACTTAATAATGGGATAAATCCCGAAACCGGTCGTAAAAGTAAAATAACCAGTGGAAATTAGACAAAAGTGTTTTCATTCAATTCATTACCGAAATTTAGAGATTAAAGTTGGACTTTCCAAGAAACAAGTAATTCAATTATGTGGCCCATCTGCGCTTCGTTAGGACACATTTTAATTGCTGATTCATGATTAATTAATATTACACTGAAGCATAGTCAATAACATACAGATCACAAAGAAATTTTAGATCGCTGTAACTTATTCATCCTAGTTCAATTTCAATTCATATGAATACAATCATGTCAATATTTATCAATAATGTATGTATAATTTTTGAAGACAGAGATGAAAATATGTTTCTAGATACAATTTAAATTTGTTTCATGAAAATATTTTTAAATAAATCAGGTATTATAGAGAGAAAATATTTGCTTGTTTTCATAATAGATAAACTCAAAAAATACTCAACCGATGGAAACTGATATTCTCAACTAGTATTGGGTTCTGTATTTCATCTTTCAAAAAGTTGCATATTCCTACGAAAATCGCCATAATGTAATCCCAGATATAAAAAACTTGCCTCTAAAAGTCAAGTATTTGGCATGGAAGCCGCGGTGAATGTTTAAGATTCTCATGAAACAGTACCTACGTCATTTTTTAAACTTTGAAAACTATAGCTATATTCGTAAGGACTTCATATTTTTTATTTCTTTCGCTCCTTTGAGGAAACCTTATTGTCACTAAAATTATTCTATTTTTCGCGTAAGAATAAAATCAGAATTAAAAAAACATGTTTATACTTATTGAGAGTTTCAAACTCGTTGTGAAGGTTAGTGAGAACTTCCTTCAGATTTTTCTCTTTTCCCTGTAGAGGGTGCTCCTGTGGATCTGCATGGGTTTCTTCATTGGCAGGAATATAACCGTCACATTGAGAGTGAGGACGTTTTGTGGTTCCTCGTTTATTACCTTTCTGGAATCTTCCCCAGCGCTTTTCTTTCTGAAAGCAGATTTCACATTTCAAATGTGGAACTGAGTTCTATCAAAAAATTAAATTGTTGGCGATTTTTTTTGCATTGGCCAAATTCCATACTCTATAGAAATAATTTATATGGCAGGACATTTGCCGGGTCAGCTAGTATATGAAATGTGGTGAACATACATGTGAAACAGTCGTTAATGACGTCATGGCTGAACCGTTCCTCTTGTACTTGTTGACAACATGGTGGATATTATTTCCGGTTTGATTTATACACGTGCACTGTTCCGATTGAGTTGGATCCGCTGCCCAAATTGGTACAACTCTATTTTTCACTTCCATATCACCAGAAGGACCTGTTATGACTATTGTCCTCACTTCTGGAGAGTCAATCTCTTCCTCCACCTCCTCTGCAGTTTCTTCTGGAATACTCTTTGCCATATCCTGAAGTTGCTGGTAGTTCAAAGAAGGTTTGGATAAAGGACATTGGGAAGATCTGTAACTGTTGAAAACGACAGTAATTTACTGATAATTTATCATATTTATTTTCATTCGACATCTTCCGATTCAAATATTAACCGTATTATAAACTTATGCATTTTATATACAGTAAAATTATATAAGGTTTTTTATAAACATACACCTTTTTTATTGAAAATGACGTATATAACCGGTCTTTCATCAAGCGTATCCTATCTTTGAATTTAAATAAAACAAAGTGTGTGTGACATATCGAATTTTTTTATTATTTTGAAAGACATTTTGATGCCATTATGCGTTGAATATAGTATCGTTCAAATATCCGCCACGGCTTTTTTTGAGTAGAGCGCATCTGAAATGTCCAATTTTCCATGAGTTTGAGGATCGCTGTGGTTTGTGGCTCATTCGCATGCACCTGCGATTTACGGTAACTCCACAAGAAAATGTCCAAAGTGGTTAAATCGCAAGATATTGGTAATCATCGACCTATAGTGCTCGCCGTTGACAGTGAAGGCCTGACCAACGTCGTTCTCAAAGAAATATAGACCGCGATGACGCCGCCAGCCCAAAATCCACACCAAACAGTGACTTTTTCGGAATGTATTGGACGCTCTTGGATCTCACGTGGAATTCTATCGTCCCAGATTCGATAAATTTGTATGTTCACGTACCTATTTATCCAGGAATAGGCCTCATCGCTGAAGATGATTTCTCAATGAAAATTAGGATCAGTTCCTGGTTCAGTTGAATTCTGTGCGGGAGCAGGCTCAAGTCGTCAAGTTGTCTGCGAAAGGCCGAGTCTTTGTGAGCGACGCGAAATCGACTGCCTTGCATTCTCCTGCACACTCTCACAAACAGCGGCGTTATATCCGGCATATCTTGCGTTTCGTCGACGTACGGGTGTTGGCCGATCGTTTACTGAACTAGTGGACTCAAATTTATCCACCACATTGCGAACAGTCTTCCCGGTAGAACGATTACGGCGACCATAAAATGGGCAGAGCGCGCGGTACGTTGCCCGGACATCCATTTTGATAAAACAATTTTTGACAAGATGGCCGTTATCAATTGTCGAAGTTCGGAAGACCCTTCAGTTGAAATTTGGAAGTTCTATTATTATTTTCAACTGAAACTTTTTCACAAATTATTTCCTTCAATGCTTGAAAACGATGAAATACAATTTTCAACAAATCTCTCCTTCATCAATCTCAATCGATCAAAATTCGGACAAACACATAATTTTTGAAATTTTCATCTTAGGTGAATTATTAATATTAATTTGAGATGAAAATCCATCAACATGCAAACATAAAACCATGATGCTTGATTGTACTTCTACGGTACCACTTTTGAAACTTTACATAAATAATAAATTACTCAGAAAAGTTGAAAAAAAAATTTGGTTTGGCAAATATCTCAATAAGAATATTGTTTAAATTGTTGTTTAAGGATTTATATTTATTAAAATCCAAAGATTGTACTGGCCCATTTTCAACATTCATTAGGAGTAAATCGTTTTCAAGAGTGATGGAAATGATCAAGGAATAAAATACTACTTTCAACAGAGAAACGATAAGAACCATCAGAAATCATGTCCTCCTTCTATCCATGAATGTTTCACGATTATTGATCTGTTCGATATCTGGATGTATAAAATACTCAGCTTTCTGTGCACAAGTTCTCAACTTTTGAGAGTTGTCGTTCGTATGGGGGCGACAGCTGATAAACGGAAAAACAGATTTTTTGAACAGATTCGTATTTATAAACCATTTTCAGGACAAGTACTGCTCAGCATTGATTACTATGGTTCGTATAGTTCATTTCTTGGTTGATAAAATGTACATCTGGAAGAGTGTTTCAGTTTCAGTTCTGGAGTTTAGAAGCAGTGCTTGTTTTCGATTTAATATTCGCCAAATGTTTCAATTTTACCTTTCAGTATCAAATATTAATAATATGTTGCGGATATTGTGATATGAAGCAATAGCAGTAAAAGGTCATCATTTGAATGGGTAACTGGTGCTTGGAGGGACTTTTGGGACATTACTATGTACAATAAGAACGTAATTGTTATGAGGAATATACAGTGTGACTGGTGAAGTCCGCATCAAATGGAATTGTTTCACCAATAGCTTTATTCGATTTTTGACTGTAGCATCAATTCTTGCTTCGATCGATACACAACTGTATATCACATCTTAGTCTTAACATATGGCAGAAAAGAAAAATAAGAGAAAAAACATCTCAACGGTAACAAAGCAAACCATTTCCTAAGAATGTTTATGTGACATAATTTGAATTATTTGGCTTAGAAGAATTAACGTTTGTTTTAGAAGAATTTACGTTTGGTTTAGTAAACGCTAAGTTATACATTTCATAAGTATCCTTAAAAAAACAGAAAAATTAAGAATAACTAGTTGTGTTTTTTTACTGTGGTTTTAATCGGTTACAACCCTCCTTGTAACCGCTGATATGCCAAGGAAATGGGCTATATATTGTATTAGGAAAAACTTTTTTCTTGTTTTTTTGACATTTTCAGAAAGAACTCCCTACATAACTTCTGGGAAAACAAATTATACACATAATGTGAATCACATGAATATATATTTTTGTTTTTTTAATTTAGAATGAAACAGAAATTGGTGCCAAAACCAAATTATGAATGAAGCTGCTAATAAAAAATTACATATTCATGTGCTATGAGTGAAAAATATGATACAATAGACTTACCACGTTTTGGAGTTTATTGTCGACACCAGAGCCGATAGTGGTCTACTGTTCAGTTTTTCCGCTGCTAATCCTATATTATGAGCTAAAGTAGGTGAAATTCCATTTACTGGATGCCTATTTTTGATGATATTCATGACTTGTTGAATGTTTATCCCAATGTTGTGACTGGGACTGGTTGAAATCGCTGCACAAAATGGTATAGCCTGAAAAATCCTCTAGTAGGTAATAATCTCCAATACTTCTAATGGAATCGTTTGGAACAATATATTTTCTTTCATACGTATTACAGAAAATGTATTATTATTCCATGAAAGATTGTCTACTATAAAATATAAACTAGACAGTTTTAAATTTCTCAGCTGGATGCAATTAAAAGAGCATCGAACTCGAGACCTAATACCATTCAGGGTTGTTTCAAGCTGTCATTAGTAAAATTAGGAATCATAAAAAGAATGTTTGTAATTGCCTCTTTTCCAAACTGAAAGCGTGAAAAGAATGGAGGATGTTATGAATTGGTTGCCCGGATACTTGTGATCACCTACTGCTCTAGTCTTAGGCACTTCGAACTTAGTCATGATAAACTTTGTTGCAACGCCCTTTGAATATTTTCACATACCTCAGTATATTTTTTCAATAAAATTCAATCTATTATTTCTTGATATCAAATGCTTATTTTGCAACAATTAGTTTCCATTCATCAAGATAATTGAGACAGTATAACCATTTTTTTGGATATTCCTTGCAAATCTTTTATTTACAACTTGTACGACGGTCAGTCGGTAGCCAAGCGGTTCGGCATGGGTGCTTCGTTCACTCACTCGAATTGACTGCCGTGTTGGTCGGTGGTTCAAGCCCTAGTCTGAACGATCGATTTTCACTTGCTATCGTCCAACCCGTGTTAGAAATCACACGTTAAAAGGTAAGTCCTCGTTAATCCCTAGCTCGCACAAGTTTCGACTTCTGAGGGTTGTCGTTCGTAGGGGTGCGACAGCTGGTTAACGGAAAAACAGATTTTAAAACAGATTTACAGATTTTTCTCCGTTATGTTACCATATCTACCATATAATGATCTTTGTCATTAGACCGACTTGGATCTTGTTCTTGTCTGATAAGATGCTGACTTGTACACATTGAAATCTTTAATATCCTCATACATATATGCTAAATGGGTTTTTGGTTGTTGGTCTCATTTATCGTACCTAACTGTGAAATTAGACCAGTTGCTGTCAGGTAATAATTATAGTATTTGAAATGAGAAGAACATACTTCCCAGTACTACTGATACTGAATATTTTTTCTGGAACGTTAGAAAGTAATTTACTAAATGAATATTACTGCAGTTCTATTCCAACTCCAAATAAGTGATGGTTTCTCTAAGGGTAGGTATTAATCATAGTATAAGAAATAAGTTTACGTTGAGAATGAACGAAATCTCGACTTTTAGAAACAACGAAAACCAAGATAAATATAAAGGAAAATGTGAAAAAGTCTGGAATTTACGAAATTAAGCATAAGGACTGCGATGTGAAATATTATGGACAGATAAAGAGTTCTATTAAAATAAGATATAAGAAACACTAAGCGAAAAATGGCTAACTCCTGCCAAACGGTCATCTCACGCTAAACCGGTGAAGCGAAAAAAAGAAAGAGGAGATAAGTGAAAGTACTCGAATGACCCATAAATGGTCATTTCTCACAGAAATTAGTCCAGTCATTACCCGAAGACGATGGTGGATACTAACAATCGAAACGTCGTGAAGTAACTTGGCTTGGAATCTCTTAACGTTTTATTTTTTTTATTTTTTTTATTTTTTGTTCAATTTTTCTATGTTTTACTTGTATTTTATTTCACTGTAATTCCATTTCAGGTTTTTTTGCTTGATATAATTGTTATTTTCAGCTACTCCTTTCAATTTTCCATTTGTATTGGTTCTTTCAGGAATTTCAAATCATTTTATATAATATTAGACAATGGAAGTCCAAACTAATGAAATTCATCATGGAACATTGTCAATCACTTTCAAACAAACAGGCATCTAGATGCCTATGAGAGCTTAGAAATAAGTAAACATAATAATATTATGAATAACGATGGTGGACCAATTTTAGGCATCATATTTACCTGACTAGTAGATAAGGCAACATTGTGAAATTATATTTAAGACAATTAGGATGCGAGGACCTAGCAGAGGTATCTATGGTATAAATAAAGACATTATATGTAGAATTAGTTTATTCTTTCTCTTGAAAATGATCACTTGGTGATTGAAGCACGTATCGAGGTGTTGAAAATAATGGTTTGGTGTTGGCATAGAGCTCCAGTAATATTCATTACCACACCAAAGGTTCCGAACAGTGCATCAGACGTTCAATAATATAATAATTTCTATATTTACTGTTAGCAATACTGTTTCAGAAATATTTAAAAATACTCTATTGAAACCTGCTTTACACAATGGTCATATTGGTGGGTGTACCTACTGATTGAAGTAGATACAGATATCTTCTAGTTCCGATGATTTCTGAAAATGTCTCGGAATTGACTCAAATGGTTTTATTGTCCAGTCTGCTGAAACAACCTTCATTAGTGAAGGTGCATTCTCTTTCATACAGATGACCTTGGATCAATGTATTGTCACTCGTAATGATTTGCTCCCCGAACCATATAGAAAGCCCTCAAACATTTTCGACCTCTTTTCTCTTCGTCAGTTTTACTAACCGTTCTTGACGCATTGACTGCGTTCGGTGACACGTACCTCTATAATCTCTGAAAGATCATTTAGATACTCAATTCTCTTCCACTATAAATCATCACAGATCAGTAATTTCTTGCGAAACGGTTTTTAAACGTAGGTTACTAGTTGCAGCATGACGCTCTCACAACTTCAAGTCACTGTGTCCAGGGCATCTAGTATTTAGTTCTGACATAATCATTGGGGAGCTTCGTTACCATTATAGAGAACGTAGATGACCAGAACGGGTCAATTTCAGGAATAATAAAGGATCTGTTTTTATTATTCTTACGTCATATCATTGTTAACAATGAAATGCATTGTCCTCAGAATTTGATAGTGTCAGACAATTTGACGCGAAAATCAAACGAATATACAATTTATTCTCGAAGTTGAAAACCAAGCAATACTGTCACATTCCAAGTATACTGTAGTCTATTAAATATGTTGATCTGCTAGCAAGATTTTTTACTCAAGATTTGTTTCGTAAATCTACATATTACTCTATTTATGGTCGAAGTATCAGCTTTGTTTGCCAGTTCTGGGTTAGACTCAATGGTTTGCACTCTGATGTTATTTGAACGCGACACACCAAGTCAATAATTTATATAATCACCAAGTAGGGGATTTCCCATATCTTTTATTGTTTGGGACCAATTTATTTTTTTTCTCTTGAGCATCTCATTATTTGGCGTCTGATGTGTCCATGCAATTTTTTCTCGACGAACTAGATGTGCGTTTTCTGACTAGAGTTAAGAGGCAGTAAAGAAAATAGGTCTGATGATAGTTTTATTTTTTCTATATAGTTATACCATAAATGGAGAGGAGTTTTTTGTTTCTCAGCCAACAATTTTACATGCTAGAAGAAATACTGGTTAGATGGAAAAATAAAATTATGAGGCAGTACCTTTCTACGTACATTTCGGAGAACTAGAAGGCTGGGAAGAGCCTACACCGATATTTCTCTCGGCAGAATATTTTACAAACCTAAATATGTCATGACACTCTTGATATTTTATAATAAATTTTGGATAACTCAAAAGGTAAAATAGTGGAAAGTGAACACTATTCGATGTTTTGGATTTTGGGTCAAATAACGGAACAGACTTGTAACATACCGGATACAAAACAATATAATGGATGAAACCTATTTACTTTGAAGTTGAAGGTATGTAGATAGGATTTGGCAACTTGTTTCATCTTCGAAGCTATAGTTGGCAATTCATAACTCCTATAGCAGCAACTTTGAACAGTTCTTGGAGCTTCTGGTGGATCGTAATAGCAGTCTGGGTCGATATGCTGCCTGACTCCTTCGCTACTGCATTTCACATTCTCATTAGACAATCGATTAGTTTTTTGATTGGGAATGTTCAGAGGAGGAACATCTTCAGCAGTCATGACGGTTGATTGCTGCTTAGAACTCTTTTCTCTGCTCTTGTTGTTTCCTTCATCGGAATCGCTGCTTTTGGCTTCCTTGTTGTGGTAAATTTCTACAAGTTTTTCTAGAAAAGCAAATGATAGGTAATATAAAACAATAATGACCATAATAAGGAAAACGCATTTCTAACGGTTTTCCAGTAATCTAAAAAGTATTTATGCTTGGATTGCACAAAAACGGTGAATTTCGTTTATCCACGCATGTGGACAATGCCATAAAGGAATTCAAGAAGCAAATCTTTTGTTTCACTTCATTTCGTAAACAGTAATTGGCCATTTTTAAAACAAATCAATGTGATTGTGTGATTACAAATAATAGACATATCTGTTTTTCAGTTCTTATTACAAGTTTTCTAGTCAGTGAATCCAAACTGAACGTTGAACCAATACATTTTTATTGGGTTATTAGCTGTATTGCGCCACCGCAAAATATGATTTCATTTCCAGATAATATGCCATTAGGTACCATTCGCTTCTAGGAACCAAATAGAAAGGCCCTCCGTTTCCTTTCCACGACAATTCTAATGATGCTATGAAAAATTCATCACCGTCATTTGTATTTTGATTCCTCTTTTGGTCATATTTGATTACTGGTTTTTCATTTTCAACAGGCGAAGACTGTCTTGAAACTCATTTTGGTTTATAAGTGATAGAAAAAACATAATCTGAACTCGAAATTATTGGAAACGGTAAAATGGGAGTGGTATCTAGGGTTTGAAAATGTATTAATTACAACGATTTTTAGCCAAATTTGACCTTCTAGGGCAAAATGTTCTGTATAAAAAAAAAAGATATTTTTTTCAAATTGAGAGAAAAAAAAACGAAAAAACTAATTTTTTTCCATTAGATTTTTTTCTCGCGAAAATAATTCAGTTCACTTGGAAATTTATGTAAATGTAGGCACACTTTGATTGAACTTCAATGGAATAATTTAATAGAATGGAATTTATTCATGGAGCTGAAAACGAACTAAACCTTCTTTTTATTCACAGAACAACAGAAAACGTAATACAACCTCTAGACAGGTGGTGCCAGTTGCCTATTTTTGTTATATTTTAATAACTAATTCTACAATGACACTCAACAAAAATAAAACCGACTAATATGTATTCAATATAATAATCTGTCATTAATGTTTTGAAATTGGCAAGTATTATACCTCTGTGATAGGTATATCATATTTACTCTATTATTGTTGTTATCTGTGTATCATCACAACAATCTACAGAAGTCATCAGCAATGACAATCTTGTCAACAAGTGGCTGGTTTGACACGTTTTTAAGCGATGATCTTTTGCTATCATTGAATCATTATACCAGTCCGTACTCTTAAAACTTCTGCTCAGAAAAATGGCACTGAAGGCATTTGACTGGCTTTTCTTTTCTACAAATTTGCACTGATTCTTGTAGTGGCCTAGCTTTTAACACTTATAACACATTATGTTTGACTGTGACGTTTCTGATGTAGTGATGTTAGCTACGTTTGCGTTCCGACTCATTCATTTTCCATCTTGTATCTGGGGTTGCCAGTTTCTACCAGTAAATGCACATTGGACACTTGCGTTGCTAATTTCACTAGAGTCATCCATGTCTATGAATTTCGACTTGATTGAATCGGCCATTATGTCTATGTCGGAATGCATATTGTGCCATGGACTCGCAATTTTCGCCTCGGATTTAATTCAGGTTTCGCAGCAATCCGATCTAGTAAAGCATGCGTCGTCAAACATTTTCTGTAGCTTCGTCCAAAGTCCTGATGAAGTTGTTTCATTCTTAATATGCACATATAGTCCTAGTTCTATTGTAAGAATGATTTTTGCTATTGCTTTGGCATCCGATGCATCGCCATTTTATCTCAAACATTTTTTCACGCCTTCTAAGACAACTGTAAATGCTCATTCTTCGTAGTTCTCTCTTACTTGTTATTACATTTCTAGACATATTTTCATTACAATTCACCTTTAATTATATTTTAAACTTGGAAATATGGGTAGCTCATAACCTATTAGATGAAACAAGCATGGAGCTGAAAACAACAGACAATGTAATACAATCTCTAGACAGGTGGCGCTAGTTGCGCATTTTTGTTATATTTTGATAACTAATTCTACAGTATTTATAAATATTGAACTGTATATAAAATTTGTGAATCAATATAAAATTTGAGTAACTTATACTCATTTCAGTTTCTAGTAGAAAAAGCTTCATACTAATTACAGCATAGACGTTGAGCTGGTCACAACATCACGGCAAATTTCTAACTCTTCACAAACAATATATTTTTCGCATTACTTTTTTTTCTGACGTTTCAATGTCTTAATTTAGGCAGTTGTCATTGTAAATAATGCACAAATGCACTTCCATGCTGCATTTTTGGCGTAGTATCTCACTTTACGGGTTGAGAAGGTGATAACATGTTTTTTTTTCTACTCGGGCCAGTCGTTGTTGAGACTTCCAGATATAACCTTCCCCCCTCGTAGCCGACGCATATATCACTGATATTTTTCGCCGCAGTAACTGACGTTTGGTACTATGGTATTTTGTTTTCTCTAATCGTGACTCCAGCCTTGGAAGCCTATGTTCTCAATAACAAGAAATCTAATATTTTGAATGCACAGTATTCACAAAATGCTTTGTTGAAAAAACTATTTTTCTGGCTTATATCATGAAGGATATAGAATTACATTACACATACAACTGAGGTCATACCAGCAACGCAACACATCTGCGACAAGGAAAAATAAAAACGTATAAAACTCAAACAGAAATTAAATAAGTTGGGAGTTTCTTTTTTTACATGAAACAAAACTTAGATGATGTCTTTCTGTAACATATTGGGGCTATTCAATTTAAATGACCCACGTGCAAAGTAATTCTATCTGCATTACATTTTGCGAAAGAAATGAGGTTATTCTAATATGATTTTACATATATGGAAAGTCATAAATATAGTTTTGCATTTCAGGATCAGTAGAGTTTTTCTGAGATGATATACGCTACCCAAATACTCTGAATGAATACTACTACAATTTTTGAGCCACTGAAAAAAACACTATAAATAAGGTTATGCACTTTTATCCACTGTATACATATTATAAAAGTGATTTTTAGAATATAAAAATTGATAAAATATGTTACCTTGTGTTTTTATTTTGAAAGTATTTAAAATATCCTTCCTCTGCGATACTACAGCGGAATTTGTCTTGTCAATAATGGAGCCTCTCGCTGCATTGGTTTTTATTTTCCTGTCAACTTTAATATTTCGGCTGAGAGACTTTTGGCTTGGAGGCTTTTTAGCACTGACCTTTGATTCCTTCAATTTTCTTTTAATACTTTTGGATTTGGTACTGATTCCTGTAGTGCTCTTATTTGGAACTTGGAATTCCTCAGATTCTTTGATGACAGGGTTGGTTTTTGTACTAGTGTCTTCAACCGTATGGTCTGAAATATTAAAGTTATAATTAAATTTCATGATGGCAAAATCATCGGAGAGAGCTTACGAGGTGAAGCTGAGCCAGTAGCCAATACTCGAACTCTAGGTGTTTCGCTGATTTGAACATGAAGCTCGGAAAGTCTATTCACTGAATCAGTTATACCGTTCAAGATGTTGTTGATAGTTCTTACTGCAGCGCCTGTATTATCAGTACTAATAGCGTTCGAACTTTGCCTTACCGGTACTACCTTGGTTTCGACGGAAGGTACTGAAGCCGATGATAGTGTAAGATCATCATCTGGAAAAAAATATAAAAAATACTTTGCGAAGGTAGGGAACAGCAAACATAATATTTTTCTTTCACTTAGACCTCATAATTTGCCAACGGTTTGTTGAACAGACATACCTGACAATTTTTGTGTTCCTGATACGTTGGATATTTTTCGAGATTTTGAAACTTCCTTTTTTACACCGTATATCTGTTTCATGTAATCCAATTGATCTTTGAGAGTGTTGCAACGGGTTTCAGCCATTTCCAGTTGTTCTTCAATATCTGAGAAAATATGATGTGATTCATTAATGTGTGAATCGGTGTCGGGGAGCTTTCATTAGAAAACGCTGTCTTATCTATTTGAGATATAACGAAACAATTCACAAAATATTGTTCTTCTTTTATAAGTCTATAAAAAATCCGCGATCGAATGTGTCAATCTTTCAATAGCTTACTCTACTTATATCTACTTCAATATCTTTAATAGACTTAGCTAGAAGATGAAAATAACTCCACAGAGAGCTGTCGGCGGAAATCGGCTCCAAGTTCAACATGGGAACCTGTTTCGTGTCTGGAAATACAATCCGTAGTAGCCCCACTAATGCCAAAGCACCAAACGCAACCAGCGCCTCCAAGAATTTGAAGCCATTGGGAGTCCTCATTAGCGAGCACAAGCGAGTCCTCTTTTAGCTAGAGGATACCAGCAAAATGAAAATAGTGGGGTCTGATTCACCAACATAAATCTAGTTGGTTGAAACTGAAATCATTCACAGGAAGGAACACTGGTGTGAAAGAAAATTTGAAGAAGCTTCGAAGATGTTGAACAACATCGTATTAAGCCAGGCTAATATATGGAGACGTATGGAAACCTCTGAACAAACGGTGAAAGGAGTTACGGTGTACTGAACTGGAAAACTAAGAACAGAGAAAGGAAAGGGAAAAGCTCTCAAATGACCTTCGAACAGTTTAGAGTTATCAGCAACAGGTAATCTGAAGATGACTATAGGCAGGCAGCTGCAAATCTCTGCGCACGAACCATTCGAGTTACTAGTGCACGTTGGATGTAGACGGTCCCGAGCTCCCGACCCATGGAAGATGAGAGGAGAGCCGTGTCATCGGCGAAAAGAGATATCTTTACACGATCGGACCTCGGGTGGTTATTGGTGTAAATAGGGTACAGCGTGGGAGAGAGCATGGCCCTCTGTGGCACTCCAGCAAGGATCTCTCTGTTGTCAGACAGAGAGCTCTCTACTTTAACTTGAAAGGTTCTGTCTTTCAGGAAAGACCCAATCCAATGGATCAGGCCCCGAAGCAGGTCAAACGCGACTACCTTATGCAGAAGACCTTCGTGCCATACATGGTCGGAGGCCTTCGAGATGTCTAAAAGAACGACATGAACTTTACGATTTTGGTTTAGCTCTGCGATGGTATTTTTGATCAGTCTCAGTGCCTGTAGCTCAGTGGAATGTTATTTCCTGAAGCCGAATTGTTTATCACGCAGAACATTTTGATCCCCAACTTCTTCGTTAGGTCTTTGCAGAACATCTCTTTCAGTAAGCTTAGCCGCCGACGAGAGCAGACTGATCGGGCGCTATCATAGAACGATTATATCGATACTGCGATTTTTGATCGCACAACCAAAGATAATCAAAGATATTCCAACGTCAAAAATACATATTTGTGTAACAGATCCACTAAATGTTATCGTGCAAAAAATTGGCTATTCTACCTGATATTATAGCCTGAAGTGAGCCCCCAATTGAAGACATTTTAGACGTTTTTAGATGTCAGAATAGGGATAGCACCCGCTCAGATACTGTAATCAGCTTCGAGGTGCTTGGATTAGCTCATTCACAAATTCTACAAGAGAGCAATTTCACTTTTTGAAGAATAGAATAGACCAATCTCCAATGTAACGAAGATGAAGTGATACATAACTGCGAGTATTTTATCATGATATTTTTAAATCACTATGTACGTAAAGATTAATCTCTTTTCAAAATCGTCAAAAAATCAATGACAGAAACTGTCAAAATGCACATTATTTTTACAATTTTTCACTCAAATTTATAAAATGGACTCTGAATTAACGACTGACAATGAAACTCATGAGGCCCACACTGTTGAAAGGCCTACCCAAGAACCACATGTGGTAATATTACACGAAAAACTAATCAAGAGAAAGTCGGATAGATACATACTCAATATTGGGTTGGCTTTCAGAAAGCTTGGCTATAAAGTTACGATTGTAACGTCCCAGTACGACAAGAATGACTGCATTGCCGACATTAGGGTAAGTTTCTGCCTCATTCAAAAAATCAAAGCCTTACGCCTGCTTCAGTTTTCAGATTCAATTCCAGTTTTGTATTCAGGATGGTGGATTCCAAGGAGTATATTGGGGCTATTCAAGAGCAACATGTCAGCTTTCAAAGCTGCGTGGATGGCTTTTAGATTGATATGCTTCCCTCCAGAACCAAAACCACAATTAGTAGTACTAGATGTGAGCTTGTGTGCAATATATTTCCTAAAGTGGTTCACAAAGTATAAGGTATTTTATGTGGAATCTTTTCTGGAGCTCAAGAATACTGACGCTTGTTATGAACACTCAAAAATATGTCCTACCTTATTGGAAGCTAAGTGGATAAAGCTAGCTGACGAGATATTAGTCGAAACGATAGGATTCGCTGAGATTCTGAAGAAATCATATCCGTCGTTGAACAGAAAACCCAATGTCTTATATCCATCTATAGATATAGGTTTATGGGAAGAGTCTGGAATAAAAATACAGAGGATAGTGCCTGACCTGATGGACAACACAGTCCTTTTCCTAACGATTGGCAAGTTTAGAAGGTCTTCAAATTTCAAACTGGCCTTAGATGCATTTGAGCTACTTTTGGAGGTTATAGCTGATAAAACGGTTACTAAACGATTTCAACTTGTGATTGCAGGAAACTGTAAAACTTTGGAAGAAAAATTCCACTACAACGAAATGATGGCAGCGGCGAAGCAGAGATTATGTGCATCCCAAGTAACTTTTCTGAAGCAGCTTCCAATCATTCACGAGAAAACACTTATCATGGAATCTACCGTTATGATTCATCCTGCCAAGAATGACGTACATTCAGATTTTTTATTGAAAGCAATGAGTCTTGGGAAGCCAATAGTTGCTTCCAATAAGGGAATCGCATCAAAACTTTTAGTACATCGATTATCGGGAGTAATTATAGATCCTGAGCCTAGAATGTTTGCTGTTGCGATGAAGAAACTAATAATCAGTCCACATTTACAAGTGTTTTTGGGTGATATGGCAAGAGACACATTCGAAAAGTCTTATTCTTTTGAAAGTTTCTGCAGTAGAATAAATAATTTGGTTCACAAACCTATACGGAAGGATTCTGTTAGCACATTGCATACAAATGCAAGTGAAAATATTAAAATTTCATAAGTGAATTTACTCATTTTCCGTATGAAATATATCTTTGGCAATATCTAAATTAACCATATTTTGACTTCGAGAACACCTATAAAATCTTTTGTGGGCATTTTTCATTAAAAAGAATCCATTTTAACAGTTAAGGATAACATTTTTTGTAAAACTGACTATGTGAACGTATTCAAAAATAATAAACTTACCATGAAGACGGTGACTTTGACCTTGAGATTCATATGTATCGTTTTTTGATCTAGATGATGGAGAAATACTTTCATAATCTGAAAAAAACACAGTGCAAATGTTTAGATAGGACAGGGCCTGCAACACAAGGTTACTATATTCATTTCTAAATCAAGCATGCACGTTTACATCAGTTTATTGATTGATTGAAATAATTCTTTATATAATGAGTATCAGCTTCATGAATTTCGTCAGCATTTGAATGTTCCTCAACTCCAGCTTAGCTTTATAAAAGAATAACGGAACTACAAATATGTAGCTGAATCTATAAAAATGATGAAATTGCAACAATTCAAAATTTAAAAATGTTCGCAATGAACAACCTCATACAAAAGTTCAACTACGAGTATTTTCAGTGCCAAGTAAGATAACATCGTGGCATTTGGCTGTTTCTGCCAAAAAAAGTTCGTCAGTTTCTTCAATTCAATTTTGAATCGTATTATTTGAACACGCGGCAATATTTATCCTGAATATTATAAAAATGCAATAAAGTAGATCATGTTTGTTTAAAGGTGTTTGACAATATTTCGTGGTGAGTTTAATTAGTTCCTCTACACTTCTACACCAACGTTTCTGTCGAAGAAGCACTTCAAATCATACAGAGGAAGCTATCCCAAGATGGGAACCTGAATGAAAGAACAAACTTACCGATACAACTATAATAATGAATTTACTAGGATGCTATGTACGAAACTGCTACTTCCAACTGAAGATGAGGGACTGCCAATGGAACCGCCATTTCACCGGTTATAGCCAACATATTTTTGGAGTGGTTTGCAACTCTGGCCATCAAAGAAACTCAGCAGAAGCCCCGCGTCTGGTGGAGATACGTGGACGATACCTTCATTATATGGAACCATGGGAATGCAGAACTAGACACCTTCCTGAAGCACATCAACAACGTAATTCCTTCCATCACTTCCTCAATGGAGAAGGAAGTCCAAAACGAATTGCCATTCTAAGACGTATTGGTGAAGAGGACCGACACTAAATGGGAAACATGGGTATATCGAGAACCCACTCACACGGGACATTATATGAACCAGGAATCCAACTAAGATCAATCGACTAAGATAGGAATCATCAAGACTCTAGTAGACTCCAAAGTGGTGGTGGAACAGACTTTGGCTAGATGACAGCAAAAACCTCACAAGGAAGAGAAGCCGCCACAACCAGTACTTGTACTTCCCTACATCAGAGTTTTGTCGAAAAGGATAAGAAGAATTGGGTACCATCAGAACTTGCTTCAGATCTGGGAAAACTATCCGTAGCAGCCTCACGAAAACCAAGCCACTAAACGCATATTGCGATTCCAAGAATTGCATTTACCGGATACCCTGCGAGCGCGGAAAATAATACATCGGTAAAACTAAGAGGCCATTGAAAGTTTGCATTGCCGATCACATGAAATACACACAGCGAGGAGAAACCAGCAAATCAGGAATAGCAGAGCATGTTTGGAATCATCAACCTAACATCAAGTGGTCTAAAGCTGATATCATCCACAAGGAGGAACACTGGTTTAGGATAAATTTCAAAGAAGCCGCATATATTGTAACGAATCACAAACCGGGCCTTACCGATATCTCAGCCAGCGAATAAACACATGACTCACCGCGAAAAGTCTAGGCAAGTCCCGAAACGACTATAGAATTTTACGATGACCCTTTACCGATATAAAAGGCCGGCTCCTTGTTCAGAGAAGGCAGTAGAATTCAGAACGTGAATCGAACGGTTAAGCAAGGAATTCAAATAGTGGAAATAAATCAAGAGAGAAGTGTTGTAAATAAATCAGTCAGTGATAATGAAATATTGTTAGAAATAGATTTGTTAAAGACAGTTAATTCTTTAATTCATTACAATCGGTGATCAGAAGTGAATTTGTAAAATAAATCTGTGAGCCTGCGGTGGACAATCTTTTATTTGTATCGCGGTGAAATTGATAATAAGACTTATTTGTTCGCGTTGTGTTTCGCGAAGTGGACAGTACTGGAAACATAAACTGATAGACCTTTTTCGCAAAAAATAGACTTGTAAAAATAAATAAGTGTTTCGGACTCGATTAAAATAAGTGGACATATTCAGTTTCGTGGACAAAATGTGTTCAAGGAAAGTGCGCCTAGTGGACTTGAAAGTTGCCGAAATGAAGCAAGAATTGGAGGAGAGAAAGGTAGATTGTTCTGGAAAGAAATCAGTATTCCAGAAGACAGGTGAAACTGTGGGATAACTTGACGGAATCAGGAGAAGATCCCGAAACATATTTATTCGAAATTTCTAGGGGTGATTTGAGTTCAATAATGAGCAAACTCGATGGAAGATAATTTTCTAGAAAATTTGGTGAGTTCAAAAGATGAACTGGAGGAGAAGCTACTGGAAAACTCGAAGAGTTTGGAAGACAAGCTTCTGGAAAATTCGAAAAGTTTGGAAGATGAATTTTTAGAGAATTCGAATAGCTTGAAGCAAGAACTAAAACCATCGTGGCAGGAGGTAGCAGGGGTTGTTCACCAGCGATTGAGTCCTACTGGGCCCAATGGAACTCCTTTATCTTGGAAAACGGGGTTCTGAAGCGGGTGTTGGAGTCTGAAGACGGTGGAGAAGAAAGGCGCCAGACAGTGGTGCTCAAGAACAGACGACGGGAGGTATTCAAATAAATCCATGATGAGGTCACGGGAGGACATCTTGGAGTAACGAAGACCTTCCAGAAAGTAGGACAACGGATTTACTGGTTTAATTGTGAAGCCGACGTCAAGGAGTGGTGCAGAAAGTGTGCTGTATGTGCTGCCAGTAACGGATATCGGATTCGACCGAAAGCTCCAATGCGCCAGTATAACGTGGGTAGTCCCTTTGAGAGAATCGCCATCGACATCGCCGGCCCGTTCCCAGAGTCCGATCATGGGAACAAATATATCCTGGTAGTCATGGACTACTTCAGTAAGTGAGCAGAAGCCTATACCCTGCCCAACAAGGAAGCATTTACCGTTGCTGACCTCCTGGTAAAGGAATGGATATGTCGATTCGGTGTCCCATTGGAGCTACATTCGGATCAGGGCAGAAATTTCGAGTCTAACCTGTTCCAAGAAATATGTAAGCTATTGGACATTTGAAAGACCAGGATCACAGCTTTACATCCACAGTCCGATGGAATGGTGGAACGAGTGAATAAGACCATAAATCGCCACTTGTCCAAGGTAGTCTTTGACCATCAAAGAGACTGGAACCAGTATCTGCACCTGTTCTTGTTAGCCTATCGTTCGGCAGTGCACGAGTCAACCGGCCAAACCCCTGCCAGTATTATAATGGGCCGAGAGCTGCGGTTTCCTTGCGATCTGAAATTTGGGACCCCGCCAGAACAAGACACTGCTGGGGAAGACTATGTCAGCAAGCTTCGGCAGAGAATGGACGACATCCATGAACGAGTCCGTCTGAACATACGGAGTGCCATCGATAGGATGAATAATGCCTATGACATCAAGGCGGATGCTGGATTTCTTGTTAATAATTTTTAATTTTCATCTCGTGTTAATAGTTCAATAGTTCAAATATATCGCAATGACTTAGACCTATATGTAGGACTTGCCTTATGGCAAGTCTTGCCTTATGGAATCTGCCTAGAATTTTGAGTATTAGTGAAATATAGGGCGATTTATTCAGAAATAACCAAATTGCTGGCTTTTGATACAATTGGAAATGTCAACATTTTTGTTGGGTTGCCAACATATACGTTAGTAGACTATGTAGTTTTTAAAATGTAATAAATTAATCTATATATAGATCTATGCAATTCCCGGTAGGAATCCGGCAGAATTCATGAGTGACATTCAATAACTATAATTTATCAGTTGAATGGAAATTCAATTTGATGTGTTACTGAATTGAAGTACCATAATCAGCTCACTCCAATAAATAATGTTCAATAAATTGCATATCACAAGTGACACAACACTTAAAAACAACAATCATAATAGTTTATTCCAGGAATTTCGCAAATGTACAAAACCATTACCGAATGAAAAAAGTATTAATTCTAATGGCATTATCAGAAATGGATTGTTTGCTATTTGCGAGATATTTGAATTAGCTAATCAATAATATTCCCTTAGCGGTTTATATAATTGCGACTAGATTTTTCGCATTATTTCGTGTTCAAGAAAAACTTTAATTTATTACCTCTGTGATCGGTATTGATTAATTGAAATAAATCAATAAGAGTTATGCTTGGACAGATAATTTTGCTACAACGACCAGGATTTATTTTTAAAAGGTCACAAGTTTCCCATTATAAACCATTACACATAGGAAATATTTACTTCAAAGTAAAAAACCGCATTATAAAATTGACCATAAACTGTTGGTGATATGAAGTCAAGTCAAAAGTAATGTCTTAATGAACTTTAATGAATTAATCAGTTTATGTCTGTCTATGTTTCATGGAAGATCTGCAAAGATATAATAGTGGAATAATTGACAGATTTCTTGGTAGTTGGTTGAAACATAATGAATTCATTTTTTTCGATTCATTATAGCTATATACAAATTTTATATCAAAGAATTGAATACCACAGAAGCGAAAAATAACATAAGTTTCTGAGAATACATATAACTGTATATGTATTCTCAGAAATATATGTGTCCGGTGATTTAGATTTAGACTTACTATTCTCATTCAAAAGACCAAACAATGTATGTTTTGCAGTTGACTTACCTTTGTAAAATTTGGTGACAGGTTCATCGGAACAATAGTATTCACCACTCATTTTGGAAAATTGATTTTTTAATACGAAATTTCAATAGCATTGACCACCAGTACTCCGACTAAATGAAATATGTAAACCCAATTCCAATTAACTTATTAAAATCATAATTATCTGACAATTTTACTTGTCCTTTCTGGTTGTCACTGTCAGTTATAAAAAGACTGCTACTTATTAGGAGTAATTACTAGATGAGATTGTCTACACAGTGAATCATTCCGCTTGCATTTTTTTTTATAAGTGCGTTTGTTTTTTTATACAAAGTATAACTAATGAATGAGACTATTGAAAATGTTACTTTCGGTAGGAATAATTATTCAAAAGCTTCTTGTGGATAGCTTAGTTTTCTGTTGACATTTTTGTGTAAGTTTAGGGCGGTACGGTTACAGTTATATGTATAAATATGAAATAGTCAATCTGAAATACGCTGAATTTTCGAAATAAAATATCTGGAGTCGAACTCACGACCTTGGAGGCACTTATACGTACTTATACGTAGCACTTTGGATCACTTCCGGTGCACGGCTGCTCAAAAGTCAGGAATTCACTTTTTGTTCAGTCATTTTAGGTCAATTTAGGCCTGTATTTCGGAAAGTTGACATACCCAGCTGTAAGTTTGTATAAACTTTGTATTTTGGCATCATAAAATTATTCTCAAAATTCACATATGATTCGACGTCCGCAACTTCAAAAATTGGGGGTCGAAAGTCAAAAAAACCGACTTTTTGCACGTTTTTGCCAATATCTCGTTTCCAATGTGTTTTATACTAATTGTATTCGTCATCAATAATGTAGAGAATTAAATTCTCTACAACTTTCGTTTCAAATATTTTTTCATACGTTGAATAGTTTTTGAGACAGAGGGCAGCGCGAGCGCAGATTCAATATTATTTGAAATCAACTGGTTGTCCCTATCGAACTCAGCTCATTTGAGGTTTATAAATTATTACTTAATGAATAATTATGAATAATTTTAATTTTTTATTAACAAATACATCAACACTAAACAGGCCAGAGATGATGCGGATGTTCTCATTATTGAGACAGCTATTGAAGAATCTGAACGTCAAAGAACAGCAATTATAGTCGGTGAAGATATTGATTTACTTGTGATTTTAATTGGGCGTACACTATCTCTTGAACAAGAAATTTTCTTTAAAAAAGTTGGCAAAGCAAATGTGAAAACGGAAATATACTCCTCTAAGAGTTTCGACAAATATTCAAGTTCTAAAAAACACATTTTGTTCCTTCACGCTTTAAGCGGCTGTGATATGCGCTCTTTAAAAAAGAAAAAAAAAACGTTTTTAAGAATATTCGAGAAACTATCTAATTTGCATGAACTTGCCGCAGCATTTGAAAAAGAAAACTGCCAGGTTTCAAGATCATTTGATAGTGGATTGCAAACTTTATTAGCTGTTTATAATGCTCCAAAGTGTGTGGATACTATCGATCATCTTCGTTATGCACAATATGTCAAGCTAACAAAGCTCAATAAACCTGTGCAGTTATCAAATATCCTACCAACAAGTGGAACAGCTTACCAACATTTTAATCGTGTTTATTACCAAGTTCGAACTTGGTTAGGACATGATTTGGAACTCCAGGAATGGGATTGGACAATCCGTAACGGATTGTCAGAACCTATCATGACCATTTTACCACCTGCTCCAGATGAGTTACTCAATACGATATTCTGTAACTGCAAAAGTGGTTGTGGTTCAAGATGTGGATGCAGGAAAGTGGGGTTGCAATGCTCTTTAGCTTGTGGCCAGTGTAATGGGCAAGCTTGTCTTAATTCTGTACCATATGAGACTGATGTTAACGAAGATAGGTCCTTTGATTCAGAAATCATGGAAGACTTGGAAACAAATCTGGGTGACGATGACAATGAAGATGATAATGCCCTTGAATTTTTACAGCTGCGAGAAGACGACGATGATGAAGAAGAAGAAAATTGAAATTAAAACTCATTATTCTTTCAATTATTTCATCTGTTTTTTCAATTTTAACATTCACAAATGTATCAAACGAGATTTTTTAATGAAAATATTTGAGAATACTTTTATGATGCCAAAATACAGAGTTTATACGAATTTACAGCTGGGTATGTCCACTTTCCTAGGCAAACCCCCTAAAATGACTGGCTTATTCTGATAATAACGACACCATTTTTCACTATCATATACAAAAGAGATCTGAAAGTTTTCCGACCTAACAAAGATGCGAAATATTGTTTCAGATTTTTTTTTGTATTCTTCAACATAGTCTCCTTTTACCTCTACACACTTCTCACAGCGATGCCCCATCTCTGTAACCTGTCTAAATAGTACTAGGCGTTTTTCTCTGCAATATATTTGTTCATGAAGGTGATTGCCTCTTCATTTGACGGAAATCTTTGTCCTCGGAGCACAATTGTGCAGTTCAAATCGTAATTCGTGGATTTTTGCCATGGCAACCACTGTGGTGTGAGTCGATGCGCTGTATTGGTGAAACAGAATTTCATTTTTCCACAAGTTCTGCCTTCAGCTTGTCAAGTAATGATGCACTAATGGTTTGTCTTTTTTGAAGGTAATCGATTAAAATAACTCCATGACTATCCCAAAAAAACAGTCGCCAGCCAAAAAAATAGTGTTTGCTTTTTCTGGAACCGTTTCCCCCTTTGCAGTCCATTGATTGGACTGTATTTTTGTTTCGGACGTATAATGGTGCATCCATGTTTCATCTACAGTAATCAAACGGTGCCAAAATTTGGATTTATCGTGCCTTAACTGCGCCAACAGAATGCCTGAATATTGATTTAATACATGACAAACACATTCTTTTGATATGTTTATGACCTCTGCTATCTCTCTCACTTGAATTCGGCGGTCGTCTAGCACCATTTGGTGAACTTTGGCGACGTTTTCATCGGTAGTTGCAGTTTTTAGACGTTCCGAATGTTCATCGTTTCCCAAGCTCTTACGGCCACTTTTAAATTCAACTGCCCACAATTTCACTCTGGTAAATCATGATGCAGAGTCCACATACCCAGAATTCAACTCATTTTTGATTTGCGTAGTACCACATAAGTACCGAAAACTTATGTGAATGTCTGGAACTCCATCTAGCTTTTCCTAATACGACTAATGACCAGTCCGTGCAAAGCTTATTGTTAAATCATCTGAAAATGGAATTTTTAACAGGTGATGATCGACTGTATTGTCAAACATGCGCCAAACTAACTGACTGTTATAAGGAAACAAGTATAGCTGAGGCTCCAGTCAATCTAATAATAACACTGATGATTTTCAAACAAGACTCAACCTCTAACGGAAGGAAGAAACTCTTTGGAAGGTTTGAAATAGATGAACATTTCAACCTAGCAGACCACTATTATAATATTCATGCAGTCATTGTTCACTGTGGTTCTGGCGTTGAATCTGGTCATTATTACGCCTTGGTCAAAGAAGAAACGGACTGGTTTAAGTTTGACGATAGTCGTGTCACGAAGTGTTCTGGCGATGCATTGAATTTATTGGAGCCTCTGGAGATACCCTACATTTTGTTTTATAAGAGAGAGGACATTGTTAGATCAAGATCTTCAGATGATGTGGTGCTGCAGGTTTTTCCGGGTTTTCCTGCAGCTGAAAAAGCAAATGCGCCACTGGAATCAATGAAGTCGCCCCGGAGCGCCAATGAATTTTTATTGTTGTTTTTATTTTATTTTTATCGTTGTTTTAATAACACTTCATATTTTTTCATTTAGAATATTTTTTCAAAAAGGGCTAATTCGGTGAAGCATAAGTTTTCATTATGTCAAAGATTTGAGATAGGTGAATAAAGGTCCACAGTATGCGATAGTGATATGAAGATTCTATTTCACGTATTTTTAATCCCAAAAGTGAATTCCTGAAATAGAAGGTTTTTTAAATAGTTGCGATTTTGGATAGCCGTATCTTAGAAAATAGATCGGAACGCCATGTTTTGACTTCAGATTCGTCATCAGCTGAAAAAATAAGTCCAAGAATTTCTTTCAAAAAACCACCAGCCGTTTATGAGAATAATTACCACATCAATACTGAGCGACTACGGACATATGTCCTTACGAAATGAGGTCTAACGACAAATTACAACATTGTTAAGAGAAATATGAGAGGAGCTGAAAAAAAGAAAAGAATATGAATACAAGGAAGTAATTGAAAATTGGTAAGTACATCAACGTTTCTTATTATTTAATTTTCATCATCAATTCTACGAGTACTATATATAGTATCCTGCTATGAATGAACTTTGCAATCATATTTTAAATTTTTTCTCAAACGATTCATGCACTTTGAAGAACTTTTGTCCTGAAAATACAATACTTCTTTGACCGACAGTATTTTTCATAGCAGGGATATTTACAGTATTACCGACTCTCCGACTCTCAATCAACAATACTTCCTACAAGGAATCACTCTCAAATAAAAGACAGTATTTAAAGAAGAGGCATATACATTCATTTATTCTTTATGTATGATGAGATATACAGCCATGATTATTTCACTTCACCCCATATCGATGACTGAATGTGTATTTCAGACCTCTACACAAATGTTCATGAATGGATATTCGAAGAAGACCTACAAATATTTCAAATATTTCACGTACCTCAAACGATTAAGTGTACAATAAAAGTGCCAACTGGAATTTCTCACTACTTAAATTAGATTCTTATATGTAGGTTAACTCAAGATATTTCATATTGAATTTGTAATCACCATGAGAATCAACCTTATCGGGGATCTAGTCATAAATCTTCCATGCTGAAATATACTTTTTGAAATCGCTGGTAACTCTCATTGGATTTAATGGTAGATCGTTAGAATCTTGTATTCAACTTGGGAGTTCTATTTGGCCTGCTTTAAGAAATATCAATTTGTTAGGACTCCAACTGCTGTAATCTACCATTCAAAAATCCACATCAGTTTTACACTTCAATATATTTTTTGACGGAATTAATTGAATCGATTTAATTACAAACTACTTCGATAAAGAGTTGTTATTTTTTAGTACTGTTGTGAATATATCAGGTAGAAACACACTGCAAGAATAATTAGTAGTTCTAATTTGAAAATTAGATCGGAACACAAAGTTTTATTTTGTCATAACCTTAATATTTTTTTGTTGACCATGTCTTGAGATGGCAAAATGTCTG